CAAGACACAGAGAATTCTTTTTAACATTTTGTTATAAATCTATTCAGTCTTTTTTTCTTTGGTTACTTAATCTTTCACAATTTTAATTATTATATGTAATTTTATTTAATATTATATCACATGTATTTACTGACATTAATTACTTTTATAAGCATTATTTTTAGGTAAAATGTTTCATCATATAAATTTTATGATGTACTTAAACATTCTTTTTCTATTTTTACAGAAGTCCTATACATCTCTATGATAAATAATGCTCCTCTGTGAGCACAAAGCATTATTCTCTGTATTTTTGCATGTGCAGATATCCACTGACTATTATGCCCAAATCTGTCAATTTTAGAGGCTTTCACACCTGAAATCATTTCAACAAAAATTTTCCCCCATAAAACAATTTAAAGGTAGGGTAGGTTTCATTATAATGAGATGTTACCTATGTAAATGATTTTCCAGTTCTTTGGTTTCAGGAGTTTGCCATCTCCCTCTGGGAAACTTTTCACTTTCTAGTACAACTTCAAGCTTTCCCTTATGAGCACTAAAACCAATAAGTCATTCATTTTTCTTCCTGCATTTGTCTCTTCTGTCATTGAATTCATTTCAATCTCTCTCAAGGGTCTTATAATCTTCCCTTCCTGTCTTCTCAATTCACATATATTTAAGAAACTGTCTTTTCCCCCCCCACAAAACATGAATTCTTCTTGAAGGTCTTCTAATGTTTTATTTGATTATATGTGCTGTTGTCCTACATTTGTAATTTTTTAAAGATATCTTCTATGCCTTTTCATTTTGTACAAACTTTATGTTTTTCCCCAGGTATCAACCTTGTTCATTTTCTTCTTCAACTAATGTTTATTAATGATACTCATGTTGTTTAACCCCCAATGAGTTAAGAGCAACCATTGAATCACCACAATATGCCAGGCATGTGTTAGACGTGTTAATTATAATACCTCATTTTTTTTCTTTACTATAACCCTGTAAATTAGGCATCAGTGCTATTCCATTTTTAGATTAGAGGAAACAAACACCAATTGTAATGTGAAACACAGGAAAAATGAACATGGGAAGAGTTAGCCATTGGTTCTTATTTATTGGTTAGTTTTAAATAACTAAATTAAAATCAGTAAAGTTGACATTTTCCTTTCCCTTCAGTGCTTAAGTGACTACTTTTTCATCCGATTTTCCCATTGCCTGACCTAAATCTTTGTAGGAGTCAATTAGCAACACTTTGAAAATTAAACACCAACTACTGGATTCTGACTACCTAGCATTCAAATACATGGCTCCTGGTGGGAAAGTGCACTTGGAGAACATTGTTAATAGATTGTATTAAATCCATCTCTACTACCGGGGGATAAAACTATTTAAAAAGCAAGATCTAGTTAAACACCACTACTTTTGTATAGGGTACTTTATACATAGATATTATACCTTTGCTATTTCTAAGGGAGTACATTTATTTTTTCCATTGTTTTATATCAGCAAGTATTTAAAGACTTCAATGACTAATATTCATAATGTATTCATCTAATGTGAAGTGTCTGATACCAATGGTAATTCCTTAACATTTTTTTTAAATTTTAATGATAGGAAGAAACAGCCCAGAGTAAGATGAATCAGGGATCACGGGCAATAATTCTCCATCCTCTTTCTTTTCTTCATATTGGACTTAATCCTGGTCTTTGTCTTGTTTGACCTACATTAACCTTGGTAATCCTTCATTAGAGCAGCCATGCACCACAGGACTGGGATGACACTAGACCCCCTACTGTGCTTAGACAATGCCTGACAACATCTTAGAAAAACCATGGCTCTGGCACAAACTCAATGGTATGTAATCTCAAAATTGCAAATACCTTATAACATGGAATCAATTTAAATATCTATTCAAAAATACTGTTTAAATTTCATTGGAATATTCCCTTTGATGTGCAAAGAAAATTCAGCTTTAGAACGTAGTTATCAATATCATTATTTTTTTTCTTAAACTGAGGCAGTTGAAGAACATTATTAATAGTTTAAGGTTAGTCTGTTGAGTTTTCAAAACACCTATCGGGTAAATTAATGAGCACTGCATGCAAATTGATTTGATATCTTACTGTCTGAAGAGAAAAAGACAACTGTTGGTGTTTCTCATTAGAAACAATACTTCTAGCTTTTCTAGTGGAAATAAGTTTGCTTTCTGACTTTAGAGACTGCCTGTTTTCTTGAGCTCTGCATTATTACTTCTTAAAATTGTAGTCATCAAATCTTTTGGTGCTACTTTGAATTATTAGGAAGAATCCTATAACTTGCAACGAGCCTGAGTAACTTTAATTAAATCCTTTGTCTTCACAGTACAAAATGACCCTTTCTGTTATTCTTAACCATATACACTCAAACTTAATGATGAAGGGATGGTCTTTGTCTGTAAGCACACTACATTTGTGCAAATTTCGATGTCTCTACTAGATCTGATATGCAGCAAGTTGCTTAACCTCTGAGTTTCTTTATCCATACAACAGGGGTAATAATTGAACCCATTATACAGAGCTGTTGGAAACATTAAATGATTTGATATTTCGCCCCTTTTCCCCTTTGTACCTATAACTACCTCGGCCAATGACTGAGCATGGAGAAATCAACCTTTCAGTCATTGGTCAGTACGTGGATTATCTTGTGGAAAAACAGGGAGTGAGGAATATTTTTGTGAATGGCACCACGGGAGAAGGCCTGTCTCTGAGCATCTCAGAGCACCGCTGGGTCGCAGAGGAGTGGGTGACAAAAGGGAGGAACAAGTTGGATCAAGTGGTAATTCATGTAAGAGCCCTGAGCTTGAAGGAGTCCCAAGAACTGGCCAAACATGCAGCAGAAATTGGGGCCGATGGCATCGCTCTTATGGCGCCTTTCTTTCTCAAGCCACAGAACAACGATGACCTCACTGCTTTCCTAAAGGAGGTGGCTGCTGCTGCCCCGGCACTGCCATTCTATTACTATCACATCCCTGCCTTGACAGGGGTAAAGAGTAAGTGCTGCTTCTTTCCATGTTGCTCTCCCCCTCCAGTCACATCTTACCCTATTGCACTAAGAACCCACTCCTTCCCACCCACCCCATGTCATAAAAGCATAACGCTGTTGACTAGACCGTTCCAGTTGCTCCAAAATAAATCACTCTTATCAAAAATGAAGTCAGCCCTTTTCAATCATTGACACCACCTGATAATGGAAGTTAAGTTATGAGAGAGGAGTTGACCCCTGGGCACTCCCAGCAGACACCTTGTGTCTATCACACACACCCCTCCTTCTTATACAGGAAGACACAGCCTGGAAGCCACACTAGGACAGGACTGTCTACCTTGTGTCCTACTGTATTCTCAGTGCCTGGCACATAGGAAGGTACTCTGACCTTTTCTTGCTTCTAGCTTTCTTTGATTGTTACTATACTTGTCCAGTAAGAAGACTGTTACAATTAAATGAAATGTTTTAGATTATTTTTTGAATTCCATTTCTTTCTTTCTTAAACATAAAAAATAGAAGTTGTGCTCTACAAATATCCATTGATAGTCTTCAAGGAATGGGAGACTTGGAGCTATAATTTGACAAATACATAGGACCTGCTAGGCGAGGGCAAGTGGCCATGTCCAACCTGCGGTCAATTAAGGCTGAGCAAAGCTCCTGGAAACTCAATGCAGATGGGAAGGGCTACGTGGGATGTTATTTGATATTTACTGGAGGTGTGAAGATCCATGAGGCATTCATTGTTTTGAGCAGTTCGTGCTGAGGAGCTGCTGGATGGGATTCAGGAGAAGATCCCCACCTTCCAAGGGCTGAAATTTAGCGACACAGATCTCCTAGACTTCGGACAGTGTGTTGATCAGAATCGCCAGCGACAGTTTGCTTTCCTTTTCGGGGTGGATGAG